TTTTTTTTATAATTATTTGTTTAATTGTGTAAATTATCTAATATGCAAACAGTTGTACTCTTTATTGGTCAAGAGGTGGAGAAAATCAACATAAAAGCGTCAGAAAGTCTGAACTATAAACTAACTAACTAGCAGGCTTTAATTTACTAAGGAGAAAGGTAAAAGACATGCTTTTATTACAGCTATAAAAAAACCATCATATTCTTTTTCTCCCCACTCAAACGAAAGAAAAAAAGTTTTTTTCTCTGTATTCTTTAAAATTTGTGATGAACGAACTCAGTGTGGGTTGAATGCTTAGGCAACTTAATCCCCAGGGATGTATAGCCATATATGGGATATGATATATGTGCCGCTTTATAGGGTATAGTTTTCAAGCAGCTAAGTCTGTGGTAGGGGGTAATAGGAATCAGAGAGCAACTCTTGGAAAGGGAAGGATTTGGGAAGATGAGTGTAGTATAGGGTAGCAAAATTCAGCTGAACCAGGCGTATAGATTTGGTGTTCCAGTGTCCCAGCGGCACAGTACCACCCGAATTACCACTCACATAACCCCCCTCCTGGGGGGGGGGGGGTAATGCGTATTTAAAGAGGGTAACGCTAAACAGTAAACTGACAAACCTGCGGCCCTCACACAAAAAACCTTAGGTATTTAATACATTATCGTCTTGATGCAAATTTTTTTGTTGTAGCACAGCCCAAGACAAATTATTATGAAATTATTTAGCACATTACTGAGCCGTCGACATGTGACCCTATTATTTATGCAAGATGATGATTATATAACTTTTTTATATTCTACAGTTGATAAGAACTTCACGGGCGGAACTTCGTTTAACTGCCAAGATGGAGACTTGGTTTTGGATTCTTGGTTGGTTTCTTTCATTTCTAACCATCACTGGAGATGGATTTACAATCTTCCTCGTCTGCAGCAGACGAAATCTTCGCACCAAAACCAACGCGTTTATTGTTTCACTTGCCGTGGCGGATTTCTGTGTTGGTTTGATCGTTATGATAATTCCATCAATGTTTTTTTTTTTTGGCGACATTACAAAACACCTGCGACTGGCCTCAACTTTGGCTGTGGCTGTCCTGGGTAAGGATTTTACAAGATGCTTGTTTAGTAACACCTCTGTTGTAAACTTATGCGTCTTAGTACTGGATCATTTTATTGCCATCGTCCATCCTCTAGAATACATTACTTTTATGACTCCGACCGTCGAACTGCCCAAGCTATTGTCTGCTCATAGGTTTTCACAATTAGTTTTAATGTGCTGAAAGTTATCTTTTTGGTGTTTTATTTCAAAACAATGTGTGTCCCTTTTATATGGCTACATCTAATTTTCTTCGAATTTTTTCCAAGTGTTGTGTTAATACTCTGCTTTAATTTGTATCAATGATATTTCACGTACGCAAGCATGATCGTTCAGCACGCATCGTAGCAAAACAGTTACGCTTTAACCATCAAGTGTCTTTTAAAACCCATCACGAAAAGCCTGCAGTAATAATGATGGGTCTTGTGACAGGAGTGTTTCTTGTTTGCTATGGGATGTATCTGCGTTGTATTTTTCTACTGCTATTCCAGACTACGATAACCTCATCGCCATGCATGATGAAAACTACAAAATTCCTGTCTTGGTTTTAAACTCAGCCATTATCCCGCTGGCTTATGCCTTTTTCAAAAGAGACATAAAGAAAGAGTTTAAAAGACTTGTCGGTGCTGTGTTTTGAAGAAAATAACTAAGGTAACTAAATCCTATCACTTTTACATGCGTCACTCATTCTTGTCGGATGAAGTCTTTTATGAACAGAACGTGTGTGAAAGGCTTGAGCTAAGACTGATAAATCTGTGACACTTAGCTTGGACTCAAAGCAAATTGAATTTTGGAGAAATGGCGCATTAGGAGAGAAAACAAGAACCTTTTGACCGTAAGAGAATACAAAATACAAGGGAAAGGATTTTAAAAGATCAAGGTTCATAGAAGGTGTGAGACGCAAGTTCTTATTGGATGGAACTTTTTACGACATGGTTTCACATCATGACATAGAGTATAATTTTGTGTTCAGACCGGCTGCTAGCAAAGCCCGCTTTGCTTCTCTTGCTCGATTTTGGCATACTCGAGCAAGACTCTGCATCAATCAATTAACAAAGATAGCGTGAGCATGTGCTGCTTGTTGCTTGGATACAGTTTTTAACCCAGGCATAGCCGTCCACTTTTGGTACAGCGGGCTCACTGGTTATGACCATCAGTTTGTCAATCTCTGAAACGGATGCTCGCATTCCGAATGCCAGTTTGACGAAAGAAAACAAGATTGACAAGTTCGCAGAATTTTGAGGTTTGGTGACTGCGTCAATTTTCCTCCGCACTGAGGTTGTTCGTTCAATCGTCTTTGTAGTCAACTCTATTAATAGCAATAGATTCCTAGAATTTACTGAACCGAACGGAAAAATTAATTGTACGATATTCTTGTTATATGAAATAATTTCCTTGTGAGAAAAACACAAAGAAATGTAGTAGTTTTATAATCTTTCCGTGCAACTTTATTGCAGCTCAGTCCCGCAGGTGTGACTTGAAATGAAAAAATTGTAACCTGACTTATCATGGAGAAAGGAAGGTAGCTAAGTAAGGCGAATTTTCCTAATTTAAATTCTGTAGAAATCATGACAAAGAAAATAATATTGGTTGCTTAGGAAGCCCAACGGCAAATTGGAGAGACGAGTTGCTTGTTGCCGGAACGATATTAAAATCGTTGCATGCCGAATGAATAATAAAACCTTCCAATTTCGCTGTACTAAAGAAAAATACAATAGAATACATAACTAAACAATATTATTAAATGATTGATAGCTCAGCTAGTGAAACAGTTGTTAAAGATCATATCGACCGTACCGGACCCCAAGCATCTTGCGCTATGTATATTGTTCAGTGAAGTATTTTGAAAGCTATTTTTAAGACGGATCTATCTTATCTTTTTAAGTTTAGTTTTTGTTTCATTAACTCTTGTTTTTGTCCACGTACTGTTTTTCCTGTTTTGATCTTTTGTTTTTACTTGTACTTGAATTTATGCTTAGCTCGCGAATTTACTTATTGCCATATTAGGAATGTTATTCGCTTGGCATTAATTGTCAGATGTCAGTTTTTTACAGGTAGTCGTGTTTGTGGTGTTAGAGCTGTCCTAGGTTCTTTGGTACTTGTCAGTTGCGGCTGTGCGTAGGCTAATCTATTCCCTAACAATAGCAAACCTGTTGTAATGTTAGCGATATACAATGGAAACTCTTCCGGTCAGTTAACCCAAACATGTCCAGCTTTGGCACACATGAGATGAGAGGTAGTCAAAGCTTGTTTCAATCAGTAACTATCAAAATTCACCTGCCTCGAGATGTTATGAAAAACCTATAGATAAAAAACCTTGTTAGGTTGTCGTAACTTGGAATAACCGTCGCAATTCGTAGTCAGTGGTAATTTATTATGCGCTTTTGTCGTAATTTGTAATGGACCTGTCGCAATTTGTAAGAACTATCTGCCGCAAATTATACTAAATTGAAGGTAGATTTTTTTTTAATCAGCTAAGGTCTCGGTTAATTCCATTTGTTCGAAATGACCAACCAGACTGATTTAGTTGTAAAGAGAATAATTAAGAACGAATGTCCAGCCAGATCAGAGCTATTTACTAGATTAAGAATCGGCAATGTTGGAGTGTCCCTTTTCATTTGACAAAAATGTTGTCTCTAGTACCGCTCTTTAGCAGGAACAATAACCAAACGCGCTGTGGCTTGGGTCGGGTCGATGTAGTTCCATTGGGCAAGTGGAATTTTTAACATTTCAACCGGAATTGAATTGAAAGCGCCCGTTGGCTTTGAATTACAGCGGTTAAGACACGCAACAATCCTCATTTTCCTACCGGCAACTGTGTTATTACAGCTCGGTCAGTGACCCACTGCGCATGCGAAACACATAATCATAAGAAATTACCAAGTTTATAACAAAGAAGGAAAATAAGAAGGACTTCAGTCTAGTAACATACATCTGCCAGTGAATAACTCACAACCTCCTGATATTTTTGCGAAGAGGATATTTTTCTTTTTATTTGTAGTTAATAAGAACTTCTCTTAACTGCCGTTACTACGGATGGAGACCTGGTTTTGGATTCTTGGCTGCGTCCTTTCCTTTCTTGCCATCACTGGAAATGGATTTATAATCTTCCTCGTCTACAGCAGACGAAATCTCCGCACCAAAACCAACGCGTTTATCGTTTCACTTGCAGTAGCGGATTTCTGCGTTGGTTTGAGCGTTGTTCCGTCTTCGTTCGCATGCGACGTTACAAACACCTGTGACTGGCCTAAGGTTTTTCCTTCGTGGATCGACGTCGTAAGGTGGCTGTTTAGCTACTTGTCCGTTTTAAACTTAGGTTCTCTGGTGCTCGACCGTTATATCGCCATCGTGAAGCCTTTTAAATACATAACTTTTATGACTCGATCTCGTGTTATTCAAGTGATAACTTCCTGTTGGATAGCGTCATTTACGCTGGTTGCGTTCAAGACCGCACTTCGGCTTTGCTGTGAGACCCCTCTGACTAGTATTGCTGCAGTTGTGGTTTTAATGATTTCCATGGAAATCTTTCCATGCGTTCTGCAGATATTCTGTTTTGTGTCAATGTTACTTCATGTATGGAAACGTGATCGGTCAGCACGCACCCTAGCAAAACAGTTACGTTTTAACCACCGGATATCTTTTAAAACCCATCACGAGAAGTCTGCAGTCATAATGATGAGTATTGTGATAGGAGTGTTTGTTGTGTGCTACGGAATATATTTACGTTGTAGTCTCGTAGTACTATCCGACACAAATGCATCATGTAAAGATGAACAATACAAAATTCCTGTCTTGGTTTTAAACTCGGCCATTAACCCACTGTCTTATGCTTTTTTCAAAAGAGACATAAAGAAAGTGTTTAAACGACTTATCGGTCAGGTGGCTTTTAAGTACAGTAACCAAGTAGAGCCATCCACTTATACGTTAGAACATTCTTGAAGGACAGAAATAGACAGAAATAGCCCCTTTTATAGCGGGATTGTGTCAGGCAACGCGGCAGTTTTGGGGCTGGAAAATCATGCACTGGCTGTTGGTCTCAAATCATTTTTTGAGGAACTGGTGTTTAACGAGGGTACGAGAACCCAAGGAAGATGAGAATACAATCCAGCCTATGTCAGGTGCACTTGAAACAATTCCGAGGTATCAAGCCCACGTCAACAGTAGTGGTAGACTAAATTTCTTATTGAAACATTTTTCTTTCAAACCAAGTGATAGTATTTGTTTTTCCTTTCTTTATTTTCTAAAACACTTTTGTAATCAACTCTGTTAAGTAGTTTCCTATATAGATTTTAAACAAGCATGAAGTAAACATTTTGGTTTTTGTGTAGGAAGAGAATTGTATTATTTTTTTACTTCCCTGCAAACTGATAGTTAATTAACCTCAGTCCATGCCAGGTGTGAATCGAATGAATATTAAAAACTCTAGAGCACGATCTGTATGATCATATTAATGTATACATCATTTGATATCTATATAAGCAACATGATATGGCAGATTTCCTATGGCGCGGCGAAAAGCCATCTTTTTCTTTTACACAAGTTTTAAAGCAGTTTCTTGGCCTTAAGCTTATTACTGATAACAGTGGAAGACTTTTTGAATAATTTGTGATAATCGTCTCAATTTGCAGTAGCAGTTTTGTCACTATGAAATTTAGCTCTTTTCAGCCTTTTGTTGTCTATTTAAGGTTGCTCGACTTGACTCCTCGATTCATGAGTCGCATCCTGAGTGATGTGAAATTAAAACCTTTGTTATTGAAGCTCATCGAGAAAAGATTCTTAAATTTCAAACCGCAAGAAATTAAGAAGGCCAAGGGATGGATTAAACGGCAGCTGGAAATTAGTTAAAAAATTTAACTGACAGATGAGAAATAACAACAAGTATTGAATGACGCTGAATAGATAGATCTGTATAATTCATCAGATCATACGTACAAAGCCGAATTCAATAATTGCTTTTTTATTCCTTCCAAAATATTCATATCTAAACTACCTATGCTTACCTGAAACGATACCATAGAGTTTGTCAGTTCCGACGGTAATGAATACAGGGGCGATTTAAAGAATCTGTAGTCCATCAGATATTGTTTAAAACGTAGTTATCTCATCCGTGGTATTTTATCATAGAACCTGATAGTCTTGGGCAGTAATAGTACTCCTGGCTATTTCATTTTCTTCGCAAAACGTGCCAGAAATTTTCCGTTATTTTCTTTATTTGTCTAATTGTGTTAATTATCTAATATGCAAACAGTTCTTCTCTTCGATGATTGGTCAAGAGGTGGAGAGAATCAACATAACATCGTCAGAAAGTCTGAACTATAAAATAACTAGCAGGCTTTAATTTATCAAGGAGAAAAGAAAAATGTATTTTTTATTACAGCCATTAAAATTTGTTATATAGTCTTATTCGCCCACTCAAACGAACGAAAAGATGTTTCTGCAGATCCTTTTAAAATTTGAGATAAAAAAAAAAAAAAACTCAGGCTGAAAGGCAACCTAGCCCCCGCAGGAGGTACTGTCAGATGGGATATGTTGTGCCGCTTTATAGGGTATAGTTCTCAAGCAGTTAATTAAGAATGGGATTGGGTATAGAAATCAGAGAACAATCCTTGGATAGGGAGGGATTTGGGAAGTTTAGTTTGATAGGGTAGCAAACTTCAGCTGAAACAGAAGAATAGCCTAGGTGTTCCAGTGTTCCAGCGGCATATTGCCTCCTGAAAATTTCTAAAGATCCCCCCCCCTCCCTGCCCCTGGGGGAAAGAACTTCCTTTAACTGTTAAGATGGATGGATGCTTTTGGGTTCTTGGCTGGTTTCTTTCATCTCTAACCATCATTGGAAATGGATTTACAATCTTCCTCGTTGGCAGCAAACGAAATCTTTGCACCAAAACCAACGGGTTTATTGTTTAATTTGCCGTGGCAGATTTCTGTGTTGGTTTGAGCGTTATTCATTCTCTGTTCTTCTGCGATATTACAAACACCTGCGACCTTTAAGAAAAGCGAACAAAATTTTTACTACGCGAGGTTTATTTATTAGAGCGATGTCTCATGTTAAAGGGGCTATGTCACCCCACACGCATGCGCGAGCCAATGAAAACAAACTTGAAAAAGTCGGCCCGTCTTTTTCAAGTTCTGTCGGAGATTTTGGAAGGGTGTTTTTATCTGTCTAAATCTCAGCCATCGTTCGATAGTTAGCGAAGTTTTGTATTAAGAATCGTTCTATGGTGATTACAGAATAATTTTTTGGCGTTATTTTGAAATTGTTTGCCTGTGGAATGTTTTTACGTGGATTTACTGTGTCCTCTTATCAGCGGCCGTTGTAATGGCAGAGTTAATGACGGCTACTCCACAATGAGTGATGGAATCTTTGATGGAATCTTCCCTATAGTTCACAGAACCTTTCTATTGAGTTATTTTAGAGGTTGCTGGCTCTTGGATTTTTCTTGTGCTCAAAGTATGTGGACATATAATGAAGCGGCTATCGAGTTGGCGGCGGCCGTTTTTGGTAAACGATTACAAGAGCATCAGGCCATGAGTTTCGTGACCAAACTAAACTCCTGGCGAAGGAAACATTATAAAATTCGGCTAGATTCCTTCTTGTATTTATCTGGATTCACGGCAAAGATAAACACGACCGTTTGCTCGTCCAGATTGTTCTCAACGGACTTAGAGAGGCACCTTAGTACGAGTTAGATCCTGTAAATGCCATGTTTTTGAACTGTTTGTGTTCGAGCATATTTTTGGAAAATAGCAGAGTTTACTTTCCCTTTTTATCAACGGACTGCTTATAGTGGAGTAGTATACCAATGATGCTTGGTTCTGTTTTTCTCGACGTCGCAGTGATTCGGCACGATCGAACAATTTTGCGCGATAATGTATGTTTCCCGAAGATCAAAACAAAGACTTGATGTCTCTTGTTCTATTAGCATCTAAATTATAAAATCACTAGCGACAGACAAGTCTTATTGTTAATGATTTGAAACAGTCTTGGTCTTTATCTTCGGTCTAGCGTCTTTTGTAGCTCGTTTGTAAAATACAACTTCGATTTATTTTGTTGAATAAGACAATATGTTGTTGTTGAATTTTTGTTTGCGCACTATTTTATGAATGGCATGCGTTTTTACTCCAAAACTACAAGTAAAATTGTCGTCACAATTTTATTCTTGATCTAGCACAACCAGAGAAGAAACCTTCCGTAAATTCTATCGAAATATCCCCTATCTAAACCCATTTCGCTTGTTAACCTCTCTAAATTCGGAGCCTTGGACGTGACAGAGAACATGGAGAAAGTCACGCGTTAAAAACAATAGAATTTTGACAGTTGAAAGTAATTTGCATAACCTCAGAGCGCATGCTCTCCAGCTGACATAGCCCCTTTAAACTGATCGCGGAGACACGCGTTTATGTATGCTACAAAAACGTGAAACATGAAATGTATGGGTATTTTTTTACTGTTTTTAGAAAGTTTTCGCGGAAAAATAATAAAAAATATTCTACAGGAAATGAAGAATGGATTAAGTCTGAGACAGCATCACTAACAGGTGATTAAGTACCACGTATAATCTCTTGAGCATTTCATAAGCTCACTTGCAGACAAAACAAATGCATTCAAAACAGAGAATGGCCATCACTCCATAAATCTAACTGACGATGATTGTTCACCCTCTAAGCCTGTTAAAAGATAATTAAGACAGGACGAATTTGTCTGTTATCAATGTTTCTGCTGAGAGCTTTTTATTGTATCCAGATGAACGTACATAGAACCCTATGGGAAGAATTATCAAGAAGACACTGATCTAACTGATGCATTAAATACGAATTTGGTTCAATATAGAGGAGAAGCTGGTCTCCTGGTTTCACAAATTAGCATATCGAGAAATGTAGCATCCACAAAATGGCATCATTTAGGAATAAATGCAATTTTTTTGCAACAGAAGCCGGATTTTTTTTAAAGGTGTATTGATAACGTTTCATTTAATGCTATTTTTGGGTTGGGGAGTTAGGTTAGATTTTCTTTAAAATGCTTAAATGTTATCAGTATTCATTTGCATAATGAAATGTAAACAGGCAGTGTGCCATCAAAATAAGGTGGAAAAAAATCAGAATTCAAACCGACTGCTGTTATTTTCTTCTCTTGTATAACTAAGCGATAGAATTTTCTTATTTTCAAAACACAATCTTACTGCCATCATTATATTGAATTAAATTTTTAGGTGAAGTGCGTGTATTTTATTTCTCAACGAAGACGTAACGGCGAAGAAAGCTAAAATTTCTGAAGAAGGCAATTTTTCAAAGCCTTCATTAAAGCACCATTCGTTCGCGGAAGTATTCTTAGTTTCATTTATCATTAACTTGACGTGGGGAGAAAGGTAAAGTTTCGAGATAAACAAGCCAGAGAAAGGATGAAAATGCAGTTTCACAGCAAAATGGACACTTAATTAACCAGAATGTTCCTGAAACGATTAAGTTCGATTTTAGAGATACTGTTAAGAAGAATTAAATATCTATAGGATAATTTTTCACGGAAAAAAATGTGTGCGAAACGTAAGGTCGTAACAACATTCCGCTGCCTTCTTGTCTTCGATGTACTCTTTTACCAAAGGAAAGACTGTCCTCTCTAAGGGGACAGCGAGGCTACAATAAACGCACTTTCATCGTAGAAATGCCTCGATACCTTAAAGAACACGTTTGTGGAACGTAGCACCCAATGTACGTCATTCAGCTCCAGAAAACAGCCTGCAGATGCTAGTAGTGAACGTAAACAATTCACAGAAAATGCCTCTGAGGCACTTCAACAGATCATATTGACGCATGCGCAGACAAAATGCCCTCCTGTTCGTCCCTTACATTTGGCTTAGTATAAGTTTCTTCGAGTT